TGAATTTCCCCCCTTTGGCGGCCTGTTCATTCCCAATTGCCCCCCCAGCCAGCCTGTTCGCCCCCAGTTGCCCCCCACCCTTGTTGGCCTGCTCGCCCTGCCGGCCGGATTGCCCCCAATTCCCCCCCCCTGCAAGCCTGTTTGCCTTTAATTGGGCCCCCCCGCCCCCCCCCCCCCCCCCGCCCCGCCGGCCTGATCGCCCCTAACCGCCACTGCCTCAGCCCCGCTACCATGGCTTTGTCCGGAAGGTCTCCCGGTCTAATTAGCATATGACCCTTTTATTAGCATAGATAATAGTAATAGTAACACCACTAATAAAGTCCCATAGTCACCCTAAAGGTGCAAAACAGTTTCAATTCAGAAATTTAAATGTCCAATCCCATGTTATAATCAAAAGAATTTATCATTTGAAGTTAAGGCTTTTCTGGGGGCTGCTGCAGGCAGGAAGCCAGCATTGTTTAAGGTTTAGGACAGTGGGAATGAGGAAAGGAAGGCGAAGCAAGAGAAAATCCTTACTTGAGGTGTTGTGGTGACGGCACTGGCTGGGCAAGAGTTTCATTACTTTCTCGTGTAGGCTTCTCCAGCATCCTGAGTGGCTCATTCTCTCCCAGGCATCTCTCAGGGGTGGTACTTACCTCCGGCTCTTTATTTCCTGCTTCTTTCTCAGTACTGCAAGTCAGAAGTCCACCTCCTTGAGGAGCCAGACCCGTCTCTTGGTCACTCTGAGATGACCCATGATGGTTCTCCTGCATGCAGCTCACAACTGGTCCATGGGAGGCAAGCATACATCCCCTGCCCCGACAAACTCTAGGAATAGAGGCTGCATCCAACTCAGCCACCTTTCCATGGCTCCATCGTCAAAGCACCTAGCCAGCCACTGGCATTTCATTCTTTAGATTTCCCCGGCAGGGGTTCTAGTTCACCTCCATGGAGGCCCCTTCCCTAGCCTTGAGGTAAGAGGCAGGGGCATCTACTGCTCTCCCTTAAGAGACTCAAAACACACAAATGGATCACTTCAAAGAAATCCCCACCCAAAATCCCCACTTTCAACTCTAACTCCTCTTTTATACCCTTAATGTGGACGAAAAGTTTAGGGTGGTTACAGGTTTTTTACCATCTCCATTATAAAAATAGCATACGGTATAGGTATTATGGTATCTTCCAAAAAACATAGATTTTAACTTTATTACCAAGCCCGGCCAGCATGGCTCAAAAGTTGAGCATCGACCTATGAGCCAGGAGGTCTCAGTTCAATTCCTGATCAGGGCACATGTCTGGGTTGTGGGCTCAATCCCCAGTGGAGAGGGCGTACTGGAGACAGCCGATCAACAATTCCCTGTCATCACTGATGTTTCTCTCTCTCCCCCTCTCTGAAATAAAAATATATTTTAAAAAATACCTACATTCATTGTTGAATGTCTAATAGCTACCACTGAGTCCCTAATTTGTCCCTGGCCATGGCACTAGGCCCTTTTTACAAACATTTAAAGTTTATAGGTTTATTGTTTGTTAACTATTCTATCATTTTCATAACTGAGGATTGATAACTGGCATTTAAAAATCTGTGGAGTGCATGTTAATAAGATTTTCAGTAGGAAAAATTATTCTGAAAGCCTAGTCATAGAACTTCAGATCTGGAAAGCACTCCTGAGGTTGTTTTGTCAACCTCATTCATTTCCTTAAGAAGCTGCAGAGGTCCTGAAAGGCTTGAGTTGAGGGACTTGCCCACGGTCATCACAGTGAGATGAGACGTGGATTATCACTTGCCACAGCTGCCTCTTATTCATAAAAACATATTAAATTCTGATTTATACTGCTAATTTTAATATTTTTCAAACCAGTGGTAGAAATGAATTTTTAATGCAAACTATTTCAGAGTCTAAAAAATTGAACAAACTGGGCTTCCAACACCACATAGAGCTGTATGAATCCCAATTTACTATACGGGAGAATGGATTCTTAATTGAATCTGTGCCTTAGAGTGGGAGAGTAATTTTTAAATGGAAAATCCTGTGGAGGTGGTGATGCGAATGAGTTGAGTCCAAGAGAAAGTAAGATAGCAAACCAGGCTGGAAAATAGCTTTTTCTTAAAGATCTGAAGGAAACCAAATGCAGATTGATTGTGCTCAGACAAACTATCTTTACGCCATCCTCCTAGTCTTGGCAGACTTTTGTGTTCGGATCCTTTTAGCTGATGATCTCCAGGGTTTCATAAATCCTCTTTCCATACATTAGCACTATGGTGACAGTATTCTTTTAACAAATATGGGAACCTAGGACATGCCATTCAGCGTTGCATTCTTCTCATGCAACCCAACAATCATAAGCTTTTAGGGTTGGCAGGGAGCCTAGAAATAACTGAGTCCAATACCACATTCAAAGATAAGAAAACTGAGGCCCAGAGGAAGAAACACCTGTCCTGGGAAGGTCACACAGTTAATGGCTCTAATCACGAAAGTTAAGCATTTTGACAGATACATGAACTCTTGGGTAGTCCCACCTTCAGCTCTGCGGACTTCAGAGTCACATTTTGTAGCGTGAAGTGCTAATTAAGCCAGAGGAATTATGGACTTACTATTTATAGGAAGGAGTGAAGACATTACCTAGGCCAGCCGTGGGCAAACTACGGCCCGAGGGCCGGATCCGGCCCATTTGAAATGAATAAAACTAAAAATAAAAAAAAAGACCATACCCTTTTATGTAATGATGTTTACTTTGAATTTATATTAATTAGTTCACACAAACACTCCATCCATGCTTTTGTTCCGGCCCTCCGGTCCAGTTTAAGAACCCATTGTGGCCCTCGAGTCAAAAAGTTTGCCCACCCCTGACCTAGGCCATGAAACCTGGGACACAGAAGGAGCTCTTGTCTCCTGAGATCCGAATATTACATTGAACCTTTGTATTTTAAGACAGAAGGTGGGTAATGCAGTCTCAACTCTCCTTGAGTTGCATTTAGTCTTGAAGGACCAGCTATTGCAGTTTTCTGTATCATGAGATAAATGAGTAACCCTACTCCTTCAGGCAAATGCTGCCCTCACCCAGTGGAAAGGTTAAAACCATCTTTCCAAACACCAATCACTTCAAAAGGAACGATTTCAAAATATTTTTCTATTATTTTGAGTTTTAACAATAATACTTAGTCAACACGCTTCAATGAATTTAAAAGTGAAAAGGAGAAAGGAAACCCACAAAAATGTTTTTAAATGCATACCACTCAGGTTTGAATTATCTCGACTTTTTCCTCTCGCTGTTCAGAATGGCTTTCACTGGATTGCCAAAATCAAATATATCTCTCAGGAGGCCTAGTGGTGCAAACAAAAGCGCTGAAATCAAAGAACTTGCAAGTTTTAATCTGTCAGAGACTATGGTACTGGGGAGAAAGTCACTTAACTTCTCTCCATCAGTTCCCACTTCTGTGCAATGAGGATAAAACTGTGGAGGTATCTCTCCTGGGTACTGTGTGGGTTGGCTAATTAAAGCTAATTAAGCCCCTGGAAAATACTATGTAAGTGCTGGGTATTTATGTGCCACTAAGACCCACAAAAACTCCACAGGGACAAGATTCTGTGCAGACAGCACAATCTCTATTGGTGATTACTAATTACCCACTGCTTACAATGAGAGCACTGTGTTCTGCAAAAGGGTAGGGAAAGGAAACAGCACACAATGTCATTCAACAACACCATCTTTATTCAAAAATATATATCTATGAGACATTTCAGAATATACTGCTGCCACCAAAGACAGCCTATACTTCTAAATAAAGACCTAAATTAATATACAAATTTAAGCTTTAAAAATATTCTTTAAGAAAAAAGGGGGGGAAAGAACGAAGACTTTCTGAGGAATATGACCTAAAGGAAAGGTCCTTTAAGGTCTATGGATGCCCTAAGTAAAGAAGAAAAAACACAAAACACAAACCACCCATCCCACCCTGCCAGATCCTTAAATTAAACAAATGAAGTAAAGCACACCTGGGAAGGATATGGGAGAATTAGATTTAAAAAAAACAAAAGCATTTCATTAAAACAACAACAAAAAATACCAAAACTAACTTCCTCACAGGAAGTCCACTAGTAGTAACAGATGTTAAGAGGCCATCATATTCATTTACATAATTGCTAGTTTCATTTCTTGCTCTTGCTGCAATAATTATGCACCAATGGCTGGTTAGATGCAATCAGATAAAACATCACAGTGGGCAAGATTCATTCTGTTATAACGTTTCATCTAGCTGATCAGAGCAAATATCTACCATACCCTTTTTTTGGGTTGATTTGTGGCTAGTAAAATTTTCCTTCCTTGATGAAAACATACAGAATGTCCAAGGATCTGTTCAGAAACATGCTCTTAGGTAGAACTAAAGCAGCACACCACATGGGGAGAGGCATATGTGCAGAAAGAGCAAAGACTCGAATTCATCTTGCAATTTTAGTAAAGTCACCCACTGCCCTATGGCCTCTGGGAGAAAATTTTATATATAGACTCATTATTTAATCATGACAGGACAACAGGCAGTGTTCAACACAGTCCACATTCTAATCTGAAAATAGCTTAAATGCTACTAGGTTCTACACAGAGTTAAACTGAATGCCTGCTATGACTTTTCACTGTTTTCACTTTTGGCAGGCAGGAGGGCTCCTTTAAGAAAAACCTGCTATACTTTTAAAAACATAGGTTATATTTTAACATGTAAAATTACATGTAATTGGCTTTTTGGTAATCCTCAGAATAATGGAGAATCTGAAACCCCCTCCACTGGATCCCATTTTATAGCTTTGGGATTTCAACCTCTGGGCTATAATTCCTATTACACTATTGGGGCAAATTGTTTTCTGCCCTTTCCAATGTCTAAAATAAGCCTGCCAAAACAGAATGATTTATAGTTAACAGGCCTAACCTTTACTAAAAAGCAAGTAATGTCAGATGGCATGATAATAGAATTAAAACCCAAAATTAATATCCCAAACTTTCCCCCTTCCCCTGCCCAAGATGAGCCATTCAGTAACATCTGACACAAAGTACTCCTGGGCACAGGGACACGTGCAATGATGTGGCTGACGGACAGATGAGCATGCACGGTGTCATATTTGCAAGGGAGATAAGCAAGTGCAGTCACCATCCTGAGGACATATGTCCACACAGTGAATTGTTAGTGTGTGCCCTACTCCCCAAAAGAAAGGGTCAAAGCAGCACCCACACAGAACCCAGGCTCTTAGCATGCCTTTAGCTTTTCGGCCCACCACTGCCATTGCTAACAAGCACCTTCATAGCCAACTGGGGTCAGAAGGCTGTTTTTAGGAAGGTGTTCTATGACGCTGGGTAGACCCTTGAAAAGGGCAGCCTGTTTGTAGGAACCTGAAGCAAAGTACTTATTTTAAACTCATCCTTGTAATTCCTGTTACTCTGTCTCTGAACTATGATTTTATGTCCCAGATCAGCTCCTAATCTTCTTGCTAGATTCTCTAGTCTGCTTACAAAACAAATGCACCCAACCATTGACTATACATCGCCAGAAGTAATAGTAGGGGAGAATCAGAGATTTAGCAAACTCCTTATGGCAAAGCTGCTCGACAGTTGTGCCTCCCTTTGGGGTTGATGGAGTCAGGAAAGCCAATGACTCCAGGTTGAATTCCTCAGTGGAAGCCTGTACTGAACTTGAACGAGCCCAGCTCAGACGGAAGCTGCTTTCATGACACAATGCTATCATCAAGACAAGATTCTTCTGAAAGCTTCCAGAAGTACACATGATTTTCATAACTTCTTCAGTATAAAGTGAGAGCTAAGAATGGAAAACCAACATGGGGCATAAAAACACAAAGTGGGAGAGTTTGTATTCTTTCCAAATATCAATCTAAACTGGATTCCACTCACCACTGTTCTGAATTGTGCTCAACAGGAGAGGCTGGAGAGGAGAACCAGAGTTTGTGGTTCTTTCTGGAGGCTGGGGGCCAGGCGGAAGGAGGGATAGAACCAGGGGCTACAAGGTTATTTCCAACCATGACTTGCCCTCTTTTTTCTGCTGGTAGAGATGGGAATCTGGGGCATGGCACCTGCCCTAGTCAGTAGAAAAGAGGTCACCAGCAGAGGGCAGGGGGGCCAAGCCCCCTGTGACGTTGGGCAGCAATGAGAGGTCTGGCAAACTCTGAATATGGGACTTGAGTTCCTTGCGGACCTGGGTTACCCGAGCAAGCTTCTGTTTATATTCCTAAGGAAACAAAGAGAAGACAATGCAGTAAGTCTTTGCGTGCTGGTGGCCAAGTTTAAGGACCCAATACAGATACTCTCACCCTCTTTTCCTACGTTCTCCCCACCAGATTGCCCCTGCCCTATTCAGCTAAAGGACAATGCTAGGTTTTCAAACTCTGTAAAACTTTATATAAAAAAGGAAAGCAGAATTCAATACTGTCAACAACATGAAATGGTATCACTTAGCACTTGAGATTTGGAAGTAAAAAGAAGTGACATTTTTGTATTTACAGTGTCTTTTATTTGGTTCTTAGCTATTTCAAAATGCCTTATAAAATACAGATGCTTAGGATTTACAATTATTTTGAAGGCTATACCTAGACATGGCTAGAAAAATCACTATAAAACTATACTTTGTGTGTTAAACTTGGACATTAAACCAGATTTATCATTTTTGCAGACAATGACTACACGAGCTCAAAATACCCAATGCCACTACCTGTGCTTATTCCATTCCCAAGTAACTGAACAAGTCCCTGACGAGGTTTCTAGTCTAAACAGGCCAGACTTATCCTCCAAAAGCCTAGCTTTCATCAAGTCACCCCCCAGAGAAAGTGAAGCACAGCACCACACTGTTTCCACGACTCTCAGAGCTCAAGGTCTTCTAAAATGAGCTCCTGCCAACTTCCCAACCCCCTAGGCCAGTGGTCGGCAAACTGCGGCCCCTTGAGTGTGGCTCTTCTACAAAATACCACGTGCGGGTGTGCACGTACAGTGCGATTGAAACTTCGTGGCCACACTCAAGGGGCCAAAGAGCCACATGTGGCTCTCGAGCCGCAGTTTGCCGACCACTGCCCTAGGCACACGCCACTGCCTGTATGGCCATTTGTTCAGGATTCTACTCAAGCCCAGAGGGGAACACAATCTAGACACGGATCTTTCTTCTCCTGGTCCCAGCAAAGCCCAGCCTCCACTCCTCTGCCTACCTGCTGAGTTCCACCTCTCTAGGGAAATCTTTCCTCCTCGTCCAGGAGACTGGTCTGCACCTCTGCCTGCTCTGGAACCCTCCTGTGCACAGAGCATGCATCTGGGCCCCTTAACAGCCTGCTCTTAGGCACTCTCTCCATTCATGTTAGACTTCCATGTTCCTCTAAACCAGCAGTCGCCAATTGGTGGCCCGCGGACCACTGGTGGTCCGTGAGGTCTGAAAAGTTGGCGACCACTGCTCTAAATGATGACTCCCTTGATGATGGGAACTGAGTATACCACTTTCCCTCCTCAGCTCCCAGTTAAAGGTTCTCTTGGTAAATCTGTATGGAATAACCCACCAGGTCATGTGAGGTCTGTGGTTTACAGCCCCCTTAGGGCTTGTCTTTTTTCCTCTAGTTGTGCCAGCCTCCTTAGTGTTTCTGCAAGGACAAGGATGTTTCTGAGACTGGGTCTTTGCTGACTAATGCCTCTCCTGCAGGAACATAAGAGAAAGCACTGGGCTAAGTCTCAGAGACCTGGGTTTAGTTTTGGCTCTGACTCTTAACTTGCTATGTGACTGGGGACAAGTTTCCTCTCTTCCTTCATCCTCACCTTTCTTATCTGAAAATGAAAGAACTGGACCACCCACAGATCTTTCTTCAAGTTCTAGATCCCTTCATGCCAACATCTCATGAACACTTGGAGAGGCAGAGGGTTTGAGGGCATAAGCACGCTTGGGAAGAGTGATAAGACAGGAAATAAGTTGAAAGAAGAACACTTAGTTCAAGTTGTAAAAATGAAGTCCAAGCAAGGAGTGGAAGAGGGGATTCAGGGATGCAGGCAGGGAGGGTCTGCCCCCACATTCCCATAGGCAGTCAGCCTTCCCCTGAAATAACGGCTGCTCACATAGGCCATCAAATGGAGAGACTGGGAAAGAAAGTAAGCGCTCTTGGCACATTTTTTTTTCTTTGTAGAATTAAACAAAGAAAACTATAACCACAACACATAAATACTTAATAATGAGCCCCTCATCAAACTTGTAAGCTTCAGGAGCCAAGAACCAGCTCCATCTGCTTTCTCCCAGCATCCACCATGTCCAGCAGGACTCTGAACAGTAGGTGTCCGACACCATTGCCCAAAGAAATAATAGTATATAAAACATAATATTATGAGCAAGTACACAATATTAATCAGCTTTAAGTCTTGAAACTGAAGACTAATTTCAAATGTGAGGATCTAAAATGTCAAGTTCCCTGTCCTTCCCTCCACAAACATTTTTCTTCATTGGTTTTACGTACTTCAAAGAAAATCAATAGAAGATCCACTCTATTACTGGACATGGATTCATTTAATTAACTTCTCCTGAATTCTAGGTAGAAAAAGGGTAAAATACTTACTCCCTGCTCAAATCCTCTGACCAAAGCTGACAAATAAAAGCCGCTTCGATTTGAAGCCATGAACTCCTGGCAGCTATAGAGCACTTCATTTGAAGGAATTCCTCAAGAACAGTTGAATGTCACTGAGTCTCTAGTGAGCTAAGCTGGGACTAGAATCCAAGACTCCTCACTCTTGGGTGATCCTCAGACTGACTTAGCAAATCCATCTGAGGTTAAAAGGAAAGACAGTTGATCTGATCAGGTATCACCTTAAGTTCAAATAACTCTCTCCCAGGTAATCTTTAAAACAAACAAAAATATCATTTGCTCCTTTTGGGGGTGGGGTGTTATCATAATTAGATGCTACTATATCCTAGATATCATTAAAAAAAACCTTTATTTTAATAAAAAGAAACATGTTCCACATTAAAGTCCTCTCGTTAGGCCACTCTGAAAGCTGATGGATCCTGCCCATACCTCCTCATGCTACCAGTTATTCTTCCCCTAGTGATTTCTACTTTAGAGCAGATGCATGAGCCTAGGAATAGGGCATTACTAGAAAAGAATGGGATTGAAAAATACAGAGCTGCAAGAAACAAGGTTAATATACAAAAGTCTATCGCTTTACTATATACCAGCAATAAACAAGTGAAATTTGAAATTAAAACACAGTATTTAGTAGCACCCAAAACAATGAAAAACTTAGTTATAAATCTAATAAAATATGTACAAGATTGTCTGAGAAAAATACAAAACTCTGATGAACAAACAAAGAACTAACTAATTGAAGAGAAATTCTATGTTTATGGCTAGAAATGTGGTAGACAGACATGAGCAGAGCAACAACGAAGGGCCAGTACAGAAGGTCATTTAGGTGGAAAGTCCCTGATGCCTAGCTAAGGACAACTGTATGGTGGAACCTTGCCCCCCAGGGTGACCTTTCCTCCCCTAGCATATCTCTGGTCATGTGATTTGAGACCCCTGACCTTTCCTCCCTAGAGATAACATCTAAGCCTCAGTTGTAGTTCGGCTCCAGGCCCAAAGGAGCAGCAAAACCAAACAAGCGACGCTATGGCTGACCTCAGACCAGCTGCACTGACTAATGACCTTCTGCCCTGGCACTGACCAAGCAATCAGTGGAGACCCAGACCCTGAAAGAACACACCTGGAAAGCTGCTGATTATTATAATGAGATCTTCACCTGGGACCTCCCCTAAAATCTTCACCCTTAAAACCATTAGGACTTTCCCTTACCCACCCCTGGCACGTTAGCATTACTTCCCTCACTCCAAGCTCCAAGGGCCCTTCTCTTACCTCTATAACTTGTTTCCTAAGCCCATTTCTTCTAGGAATTACTTTTTCTACCTCTGTAATTTTATAAATACATGTTCTCTATTAGTTTGACAAATAAAAGCTGCAGGGTCTTGACTCTGAATTCTTTCCTAGCCAGAACTTAAGTCCCGAGGTTGCTGAACCCAGGTCCAGTGGTGAACCTGGTGCCATTCCTGCTGCCTACAACAGGAAGACTCAATACTGTTATGATGTGAGTTCTTCCCAACTTTATCTATAGATCCAATCAAATCAATGCAATCCCAATCAAAATCACAGCAAGTTCTTTTGTGGAGATAGACAAACTGATTCTAAAGTTAATATGGAAAGGGGAAAGTTTCAGAATAGCCAAAACAATATTGAAAAGAACAAAGTCAGACCTACCTGACTCCAAGACTTACTATAAAGCTACAGTAATCAAGACAAGGTGGTACTGGCAAAAAAACAAATAGATTAATGCAACAGAATGGAGAGCCCAGAAACAGGCCCATATAGTCAACTGATCTTTGACAAAGAAACAGAAACAATACAGTGAAAAAAAGACAGTATTTTCAAGAAATGGTGCTGGAACAATGCAAAAAAACAAAACAAATCTAGACATGAGTTTTACATCCTTTATAAATATTCATTCAAAATGGATCACAGATTAAAATGTAAAAGCACAAAACTATAAAACTCCTAGAAGATAACACAGGAGAAAATCTAGATGATCTTTAATTTGGTGATAACTTTTAGATACAACACCACAGGCAAGACCCATGAAAGAACTAATAAACTGGACTTCATTAAAATGAAAAAAAATTCCTGCTCTATGAAAGACACTGTCAAGAGAATGAAAATGTTTGCAAAAACATTAGGGGAATGCAAATTAAAACAACAATGAGATATTACCACATACCTATTAGAATTGCCAAAATCC